AAATTAGCCAATGCTTGAGTAGTCGAAGTTAGAGGAGGCGACGCTAGAGGAGCCGGCACTAGAGGGGCAGACACGAAAAGAGCCGACGCTAGAGCAGCCGAAGCTAGAGCAGCTAAACTAGAGGAGCCGACGCTAAAGCAGCTGAAGTTAGAGGATCCGACGTTAGAGGAGCCGACGCAAGAGGAGCAGATGCTAGAGGAGCCAAAGTTAGAGGAGCCGACCCAGGAGTAGCCGATGCTAGAGCAGCTGAAGTAGAGGAGCCTGCGCTAGAGGAGCTGAACTAGAGGTGCTGAATCTAGAGCAGCTGAAATAGAGGAGCTGACGCTAGAGCAGCTGAACTAGAGGAGCCGAATCTAGAGCAGCTGAACTAGAGGAGCCGAGGCTAGAGGAGCTGAACTAGAGAGGCCGAATCTAGAGCAGCTGAACTAGAGGAGCCGACGCTAGAGGAGCTGAACTAGAGGAGCCGAATCTAGAGCAGCTGAACTAGAGGAGCCGACGCTAGAGGAGATGAACTAGAGGAGCCGAATCTAGAGCAGCTGAACTAGAGGAGCCGACGCTAGAGGAGATGAACTAAAGGAGCCGAATCTAGAGCAGCTGAACTAGAGGAGCCGACGCTAGAGGAGCTGAACTAGAGGAGCCGAATCTAGAGCAGCTGAACTAGAGGAGCCGACGCTAGAGGAGATGAACTAGAGGAGCCGAATCTAGAGCAGCTGAACTAGAGGAGCCGACGCTAGAGGAGATGAACTAAAGGAGCCGAATCTAGAGCAGCTGAACTAGAGGAGCCGACGCTAGAGGAGCTGAACTAAAGGAGCCGAATCTAGAGCAGCTGAACTAGAGGAGCCGATGCTAGAGGAGCTGATGAAGTTATTACATGTAATAGCTGTTTATGTCATCAGGAAGTGAGCGGCTGCTGTTCTTCATCTGTGTCCTTCAGAGTGGCTGAAGCTAATTCAGATTAGAACCCTGATAATTTACGTTAGCAACTGCCTAGCAACTAGAGATGTAACGATTCACCTGACTCACGGTTCGATACGATTCCCCATTCAGTCACGACTGTTAAACAAAACGATCTGAAACTGTTTAAAGGTGAAGAGCTCCTTCAGTCTGTTCCGAAACGCTGCACAGTTCTGCTAGATTTAATATATTAATAGTATAATTATTGGTGCAGTGGATGGTGGGTTAGGGACTAACCCCTAGGTGGAGGGGTGTCGCGGACTAAAGTGAAGAGGGATGGGGAGTCACGGAAGTTAAAGTGAGCAGCAGACGGGGGAGGTGGGCGTTAGAGGAGGGGAATTGGTAAAATGAGGTGCCGGATCCGGCGTGTTCCGGCACAAATTAAGCCCTGGAATCCTAAAATTCCTCCAATCTTCAACCGACTCACGGTGAGTGTGTGTGTGTGTGTGTGTGTGTGTGTGTGTGTGTGTTTCTGTCACCGGCCCACGAAGTTCTCCAGCACGGAGCTCTTGCCGGCACTCTGTCCGCCCACCACGGCGATCTGCGGCAGGTCCAGATTACAGCTCTGCCCGATGGAGCTGAAGGCGTCCTGCAGCCGGTTCACCAGGGGGATCAGGTCCTCCATACCACGGTTACCCATGATGCACTGCAGGAGGAGGAGGAGGAGCTACGTAGAAACTGAGGAGAAGGAGCTGTAAAGCACACACAGACACACAGACACACACACACA